ATGTTGTTAAATATTATGGAAGTTACTTTAAGAATACAGATTTATGGGTAAGTCAATATATGCTCTGTTTTATCGTTCCAAACAAATTGGACTATTACTTGTAGATCGTGATGGAGTATTGTGGAGCTGGTTCTGTTAGTGATATCATGAGGTTAAGAAAGAAGACTCTTCAAGAGGATGAAATCGCAACAATCCTGAGTGATACTCTAAAAGGGCTGGAATATCTTCACTTGAGAAGAAAAATTCATAGAGACATTAAGGCTGGGAATATCCTTCTTAATAATGAAGGCCATGCAAAGTTGGCTGATTTCGGTGTGGCGGGTCAATTAACGGTGAGTTATGAGAAGATACTTTTAAGTCGAAATTTATCAAATCTAAATTGTAAATTCTCTGGAATAGGATACCATGGCTAAACGTAACACAGTCATTGGTACACCATTCTGGATGGCACCAGAGGTAATACAGGAAATCGGTTATGATTGCGTGGCGGATATATGGTCTCTGGGAATAACGGCCTTAGAAATGGCCGAAGGCAAGCCGCCGTACGGCGACATACACCCGATGAGAGCAATATTTATGATTCCTACTAAACCACCACCTAGTTTTAGAGAACCTGATCAATGGAGTCCAGAATTCATCGACTTTGTCAGTGGGTGCCTTGTAAAAAATCCTGAAGAAAGAGCTACTGCAACCGAGCTTTTGCAGCACGAATTCATAGGTGAGTAAAATATTAAAATTTATATTATGATACTTTATCAATTAACAAGTTTATGTTACATGATATAGGCAATGCCAAACAGCCAAGTATCTTAAGTCAAATGATCGCCGAGGCTCATGAAATACGAGAAAAGCAGAATGCGCATAGAGCTCACATTATAAACAATGTGGCGATTAAAAGTCAAACCCAGGCAGAGGATTCGGTACACACCTTTAATTAGATACACATGGACTGCTAGTTTCATTCTGATATGTTGCACTCTTATTATCTAAATGTAAATCAATAATATACATCAAAAAATATTTAAAAGTACCTAAAACATCAAAAATATGTATCCATTATTTGACTAAAGATGATTTGAATTTATGTGATCTAACTGTGCAATATGGGATATATGGGAAATATGGGAAAAATAGAGATGCTAGTAGTTCATATGTTATATATATGTATTTCTCGAATAGTTTCGGGTCCCGAATCAAGTATTTTATCTCGACATTCGGGTACCCGAATTTGGGTACCCATCCGACTCAACTCGATTATTATCCGATTCGACTCGAGGCTCGGGTATCTGAATTTTATCGCATATACCAAATATATATATATATATATATATGTATACATATTTATCTAACATTGTATCTCTGTGTAAGGACGAGGACGATTGTAGTGGAACTATGAAACCATTACCGGAAGATAGTAGGACTTTAGTACCGAGTCATGATCTTCCAGACACGGGTACTTTAGTTTCGGCGATGTTGGACTTGGGTACAATGGTTATTAATAGTGATACCGATACCGAAGCTACTATGAAGAGTTAGTAGGTCTTAATTAATCTTCAAATCTCCACAAAAAAATGGTTCACAACTAATTGACATTCTTTTCAGGACATAATACTGGTTCTGTAGAATCCAGCAAAAAATATCGACCATTATTCTTAGATCACTTTGATAAGAAAGAAGCGCCTGAAATCGGAAAGGTGATCTTCCTTTCTCATATTCGTTTAAGTTACCTAGATATGATCTACGTATAAAATATTAATAATATTGAATAATATTGTGTTTAGGGTAATGGACAGATATTGGGAGCACACAATATGGAAAATGCGAACCAATTGGAGCAACAAAGTCCAATCGAATCTCATAGGTTTCAAAGTCATCTGCAACTACAGCTACAGAATCAGATCTCTCATCCCGTGCCGGAACAGCCATATAACAATATATCAAAGTTTCAAAATGTTTTCACGGAACGTGATTTTGACTTTGTGAGTAAAATTTTTTCCAACATTCTTATTTTAAGAATTTATATAATTGATTTACGCGATATGTTTCTAATTATTGATGTAATGGGAGAAAGTGATTTATTACTTTTCATTTTATAATAACAATACACATTCTGTGTACAATTCACATTCTGTGTATCAAATTATTTGGAATAATGCCACTTCAGGCATTATAAAAAAACGATAACTTGAATATATAGAGAAGCCGTATCCTGCAGTTGAAGTTTCTCTCTTACGAGGAACTACAACAACGAATGGCTAATCTGGACGCGGAAATGGAGCGAGAGATCGACGAGCTGAGAAAAAGATATCAAACGAAAAGACAGCCTATTCTGGATGCCATTGACACTAAGCGGAAACGTCAACAGAACTTCTAACAGTCCTCCTTTACGCGAATAAGTGATGACGAATAGACAAAGGGTGTACAGTTGTATAAATGAATAGATTTTATTCGCATCATCTCTGGCTTCATCAAAGAAAAGAACATTGTTCCCACACCGTGAATATTTTACCTCATAAATGGACAAACGTTTAGCGATTGTGGTTTCCTGTTTACTCGCAAATCACAATGTTGCTTTTCTTTATGAATTCTAGGGTATTAGAGTAATAGCTAATAGCCTTACGTCATCAATGTAAATTTTACGTGATTTAGGTGAAGAAACAATCACAATACTTAATTTTTGTATTATGTTTACCTACATTTACTGTTAAATATATCCTATTCTTGTAGGAATATTCTGAGAGACTCCTCTAGGGTCATTAGAAAATAAAAAGAAATGCAATAGGAGTGCAGAGATAAATGCATCATAATTACAGTCATTTTTATCGAGAAAGAAATTTTATATTTACTTGAAAAGAAATCGGTATTTCGTATCGTGCTACGCTAGTCATTTATAATGCCATTTTATCCAGAATATAAAAAAGATCATTAATTCATGTAAAATGCACTTAAACAGCTAAGCAGTTTCTTGAGTGTGAATGCTCTATTTAATCATGACAGTTTGAAATAAGCGAACAAGGCTGTAAGATTTAATTTACTTTTTATTCTACTGCCATAGATAGACTCTCTACTCTCATTCGTTTACTAATACTAACCACTAACTTTAGTTTATATTAATTCTCTAAATGATTATATTTACTTTTCAAATTGCAAACATGTCCAACACCAATATGATCGCAATTCTAAAGTAATGAATAGTGTTCTTCGGTATGCAGCACCATGACGAAAAAATGATGCCGCATTCTATGAGATATTTCATAAATGAATTTACTAGTATTAGAGTCTTCCGCGCACTATATATTAGAAAGTATTCTCCAGTATGCTCTAATTTACTTTGTCACGATATGAAAATTGTTGAAACTGAAATTTATCAGATTTCACTAACAATAATGATATTTTTAGAATAATATAAAAAGTTCGTATGGGGTAATGCCTTAACAATAATTATTTTATGTATAAAGCACTAAAAATTTTTGACCGCATATTTTTTTGTGATCGTTACAAAATAAATATATTTGTAAGTGCCATTAATACATATGGCGAATAATCATAGTGGAAGAATAATTCCTTGCTGACGTCTGGGCTATTTTGCAAGTAGTGAAAATAGAGCTATACTTAAATGCGCTATAGCCAGAATTGATCTTCAATTTTCTTTTAGAAAATAATACAGAATAACATATTTTTGATATAGAAGGTTGCACATTGTCAATGAAATAAGGTCCGAATTTGAAGCATATATTATTCATAATCTTGATACTCGTAAACAGAAGTATAATATTAATAAGATTTTTAAAGAAAAAATAATGAAATTGTTTTACAAATAAAATTATGCTCCAATATCGTTTTATATACAAAATGCAATATGTAAACTGTATATATTTTTTTTTAGAAATCCTTTTAAATAATTTGAATGGTCGTATTCGTTCCATTATTTGTATATTTGTTAAAATTGTGATTTTATTATACTCTCATTTTATAATTCATATACAATATGAACATGAAAATGTTTGTAAATTCTTTACATTCTTACATAAAATTATAGCTTTACAAACTTTATATTTCTACATTTTATGCTGTTATAAAAATCTTTCTTGAGCTTACGATGTATGTTCATAATGTTCTGCGCTATCTATTCTAAGAGTAAAACAGTAAAAATTTATAAAAAAATGTCACAAAGAAGTACACTAATGCATTTTCTACACGATTGTCAGTCATTTAGCCTTAGCTCGCAATCACTTTTCAATACAGATTTATAGTTATATATTTTATAGGGCAATAAATCCATAATAATTCGTTTTTATTTTGCCACTTGAAAATATGGCTTTGTATTCATATCTAATCATCACGACAATTTTATAACTCCATGATTTTACATTCGTATTGTGTATTGTATAATCTATTACAGTGTTTGGCTGAAATATAGAGACTGAAGACAGAAGTATGTTTTCCGAGTGAATGATTTAGTGAAAAATATAGTCTGATAATAGAATGTAACAACATATAGAACGATTGCTGTTTAATATCGAAGCGAGAATTATTAATAGTTTTGTTTAAATAATAACTAAAGCAAATATTAACATGCTGCCTTTTCAATCAGTTTGTTTAATTATAATAAAACATTATACAAACTATGCGCGTTTGATCTCTTTAGTTTGATTTTTTTTATTAATGATACAAACGTATTATTAATACTAATCCTATTATTAAGTACTTCGTGCACAAGTATTTTTTGTATATAAAGTTTTGATGCAAGTTTATTTCCAGTTTATATCAGATCGGTTATCACTGAAATTGGACGGTATATAAAAATGTATAAAGAATGTTTTATAAAAAGTTATCAATAAATATAAATGCATTTTAATCACATACAAAACACACTAAGCACGCATCATTCAACAAAATCTTGAATACCCGTACCGTTAATTTTTTAATTGGAAAGAGTATTTTAACGATTTGTAAAATATCTTAAAATATATATATTTTTTATATTTTAATAAGGCATATCCTGTTACTTTTTATTACTGCTTTCACGTCAATCTTTAAAATTTATTTGGCTCATAAATCGTCATCTCCTATCATATGAAAAACATTGTTTTCCATGACATCAAGATCAGTTGTTTGAGTTTTGTCAATAACACTTCGTGAATCATCTGATTTTTTTGATGTCACAGCCGACCATTTGTTAGCAAGTTTTTTTATAATTGGTCCCGATTTAGAATGATTATTATTCACACATTCTTGCAACGGCGATCCTGTGATGGTACGACTTTGGCCGTCCCTCATAATATACGTCCACGATTTTCCAGACTCTGTCTATAAATCATACATTTATGGATGAAGAAACTTGACAGTATTTACGTAATTTAAAACAGTTTATGTAACAACCTGAGTTTTACTCCCAACTACACATTTCTGCAACAACTCATCAATCATAGCTTGTAGACAAACAGACATTAAAATCGCTTGTTCGGACACAATTGTAATCCATTGCAATTCATTTCTAGCAATCAGATATTCGAAGGATAATTCCAAATTGCACTCGTTATTATCTTTATAATGCTCCGTTCCCTAGATATATTCATTAATAAATGTTATTGACAATCTAAATAAACTTTCCACTTTCTAAAACATTCATAACACTCACATTTTGTATAGTAGTTATACGCCAGCATCGCATTCGTGATACTTTAAACGCAATTTCATGCTCTTCAGACGATAATACACGTAAATTCAATTCATTTTCACCTATAGCAAGCAATACTTTCGAGCTACGTTCGGGATAATCACAGTAACATGGTGCAAATTGTATGTAGCCATAGTACTTCAAGAGACGGACTACATTCAGGTACTGAAATAATGAAGATAACATCATAAATTACTTAGATATTATTTGAAGGATATTATTTGCCTTTCACAATGAACGTACCTCTTTTTTACTCTCAGATTTTTGCAGATTTTCCAATTGATGCTGTACCTCCTTCGTAATTGGAATCCAACTGCTGCGAATTTCCACAGCCGCTTGAATGTATAGTAAATTTAATGTTACCGGATCGTTCAATAACTCAACATCATATGCTGTATCCCAATAATTTTTTCTGAGAACAATTCGCGTATTCGTAGAACTCATATATTTGTACGTTATAAATGGTGATTCAAAATTTTGTAGTTTTCGCAGTACTGATAAAAAAAAATAAATATATAATAAAATACATATATTAAAACAGAAAACAAAATATGTAAATATATTACACTAAACTATAAAAGTATATATACTTACTTTTGATACTACCGGATGACTCGTCTTGTGTAATAATAAACAATGCAAAATGAAAATGATATTTTTCTGCTAACTTTATATGTTTGTATACCCTCTATAGAAAAGAAAGTATTTTAATAATTGTCATATTTATGTAAAGTTACCTTTTTTTATGTATATTAATTATGCAAATAGTATACCTTTAAAACTTTACCAGAATGCTCTTCTGGCGAAATATTTAATGAAATTTTAGATCCACTCATAAGAAATATATCTAAAATTTCTTGCTCGGACAGGCCATTTACACTTTCTTGTTGAGCACTCAATAAAAATCCATTTAATATTTCCGAGTTATTGATGGCTATATTTTGCCCAATGGACTGAATATATTTCTCTAAAGCCAGCCGCCGTTCTTCTTGCTGTGTAGCAGTCAAAGGAAAGAATTTCTTTGGAGGAAATATAGGTAACAACATGTCTAGGTCTTTTGACAATTGTACGTGCAGATTGTATAGTTGTTTGTATCTTGCAGTACAATGAAATAATCCATTGATATGAATATTATATCCCTATAATTTCATGAGATATTATTACATAAATCTATAAATTAATTAATTATTTTTATAATAAATTTTTATTCTAGAAATAATTAAGCACACAATATAATATAATAAATAACAAACAATTATATCACTTACGATATACGTGTTCCCAGCACTATCTATAAATTCCTGAGTATCTGGTATGGAAAAGTGCATCTTGACAGTACAAGAATATATTGAAAAGATACAAATATTATCATAACATTACATTATCTGTGGCAAAATTTGTTAACTTTGTGGTCCTCTTCAACATAGCAGCATCTGTGAAGGAAAATGAAGTATTAAACTAAAGAAAACATAATTTTCAAATCTTCCGATTTACTAGAATAAAATCTGCGACTAAAATTAACATGTGGGATCTTGCAAGTCGCTGTACAATGAGTCATTATCGTTAGGGAATGATGTTTCCGGATAAAAGCGATTCAATCCGCCCACCGGCCGAACGTGTCTTGTCTCCTTATTTTCTTAGAGAGGAACGACTTCGAGATCCGGATCGCGACGGAAAGATCGTAGAGAGCGATGTCCCAATAATCTCAAAGCTACGGTGGAAGTCATGGGATATTCTTTCCCGAACCGGAGATATCCGTTCACATCAGCTAGTTCACATCGACATCCGTTACGGGTTCCCGTACTCACATTGCTGTGTGACTTTCGTCGTTTGCGGGACCTCATACGTGACAGCGGATCACTCACGCCCACTCGCGCGTTACGTTTCACGCGATTATTACTACTGACATGCATTTAAATCCCAGGACAGCTCGCGGCTACTCCGCCGCGAGCGAGAAAACGTGTCATATGTGCTCGCGAGTTTGCGCATGAATGACGTGCGTTCGCTTCGCACTGTTTCTGTTCGCAGCAATTTATAGTGTTCGAATTGCAGCGAATGCGGTTAGCGTGTCACACAGAGGAATGAACTCAATGAACCGATATAGTCGATAAATAGTGGCAAAAGACTCTTCTCGTATCAACATATGAATTAAAAAAATTTATTAGACAATATGCAACGAGAATATCTTACATTAGCTGGAATACGCGTTTTTCGCGAAAAATATTGTCACAATTATTTTTGATAGAATATATTAATATTAATAAATATTGGGTCATCTAAAAAATATCCGCGGTACTTTGTCACTAGATATATGACCATCAACACACATCTAGTGACAAAAAACCGCGGATACTTTTTAGATGACCCATATATCTTGATCCAATAATTAATTTTGCAATGAAAATGTGATGAATGGCGATATGTTAATTTTTATACCATATGAGCTCTTAGTGCGTTTAAATTTAATTTATTTGAAATGTAGTAATAATTTAATGTTAACATTAAAAAATTATTAATATTCAAATCGGATTTCTTTTTAAATCATCAATCACGAATAATGAATATTTAGATGAAATTTGATATAAAAAAATTATTTATTCGAGTATTAAAATCACTGAACAATAATTCATTTTTAATTCTAAAGTTACCTTATTTTATAAAATTGTAAAGAAAAGATTGAAGACAATCGATCGGAATTAGCGAGTGGCGATGATGGACTATGGAGGATATTATCAGAGCGATATTATCAGAACTCTTTTTTACTGATGGTCGAAAACAGTGTTACCCATGGAAATATCTGTGGTTACGTAGTTCCGTGTTCACAAGGCTGGGGCACTAGTAAACGAGTTTCATAAAGCAATTTTGAACATGTTCTTTCTTCTGTTTGCCACTGTTTGCTGATATTTGTATCTTTTGTGAAAGAATTTAATGAAAGAACGTGATTTTTTATATATATACATGTATATATAAAATACAAAAAAGAAATTGTTAGCTGAAGACAGTTGATTTGATAAAATAGATAATATAACGTTTATATGAAATAAATCTTGATATATGGAACTATGCTTGCACTAAAAGATTATGGTAGCAGCGATGAAAGTAGTGAGACTGAAAACGTCGATTTCGCACCCACGTTTCCCGGTGACAAATTCACGACTAATCTCCAAATTTGTTCGGCCCCAGAAGTCATACCTACTGTAAGTATTTACACGCGTTTGCTCCGTTTTTAATTGTCGTTTTTAAGGTTATGAATGACGGTGTAATGAGTGCTTGCCATTTATCGTTCTATCTTCATTATTCGCTGAATACCAAGAAAGATAGAATAATATAATAATAATTATATAATATAATAATAATAATATAATATAATATAATATAATAATAATTTGTGTCAACTTGTGTCTAAATAGAAAGCACTCACTATTATTATCCGCACTATATAAATATTTTTACTTTTTTTGATGAAGAAGAAATAAATAGTCACTTGATATTATTTAGGGAACAGAATTGTGTGTAAAACACGTAGATCCGACTGCAACGGAAGTTGCACATAATCCGAAGTATGAGGAACTTTTTGGACCTGAGATAGGACCAGAAAATCCATTTAAAACACAGCAGCAGCGCGCAGTGAAAAATATACTGTCTGGATATGTAGAACGCGCGCATATAAGTGAATTTCAGTTTGAAAATCAGAGGAGAACATTTGCCAGTTATGGTACATATAATATAATATACAATTGATGATTAATATTTTTTTATCTCAACGAAATCTGGATTCTCGAAACTATTTTTACTCTATAACTCCTATAATCAAGCAAAATATATTTATTTATATCTGAATATTTGAGATATTTGAGCTTAAATCAAATAAATTTAATGTTGAAGTTTTAATTAATATGTCTTAAATTTTTGTTATTAGGGTATGCACTTGATCCAACTGTGGACGGTAGTGCAGAGGAAGGTAGAATTATGATTGGTGCAACGGAAGCTGCAGAAGAATCAGGTGGTAAGACTGTTTTCGAAAATACTACTCTGAGACCTTCAGACAAACGAAAGAGACATAGAAATAACAATCCATCAGATATAGAAGGTTTTTTGGGTCCTTGGGGTGGTTACATTGATGAGAAACGAGTAGTTAAGCCAAGTGATGAAGAAGCCGCTGAATTGGAAGAAATCTTAGCCAAACGAAATAAACGAGGAAAACAGACAGAGGAGAAACCACTTGAAGAGAAGACAGTATTACATAGTAATGTCTTTATATATGCCTCATATATATTACAAATATATTAATGTATATATTAGTAACAAAGTTGTCTCTTATAAAAATAGCTTTTAGAATTTAATTATCTAGTTTTATTAAGATAACATTTAATCAATATGAATATTGTTTTAAAATGTGTACTTATAATATTTAATTTACATTGCAGTCAAAGATAGTGTGGATTATCAGGGACGCTCATTCTTACATGCGCCTCAGGATGTTGGCGTGAATCTCAGATCAGAATCACCACCCGATCGTTGCTTCTTACCAAAGGCACAAATTCACACGTGGGAAGGCCACACAAAAGGCATCTCGCAAATTCGATGGTTCCCACGTACAGCGCATTTATTATTGTCTTGCAGTATGGATTGTCGAGTAAAGGTATTCGACATAACGATTATTTTAATTTAATCTATGTTACGTATTATTTATATATAAAAATATCACTAATATGTCTTATTGTATAGTTGTGGGAAGTATATAAAGACAGAAGATGCGTTCGTACGTACTATGGACATCGACAAGCTGTACGAGACATAAGTTTTGATAATGACGGGAAGCGATTTTTATCAGCGGCTTATGATCGCTATGTAAAACTTTGGGACACAGAAACGGGAGCTTGTATTAGTCGCTTTACGAGTAGGAAAATTCCATATTGTGCCAAGTTTAATCCTGATCCAGATAAACAGCATCTCTTTGTAGCTGGTACCAGTGATAAAAAGATTATTTGTGTAAGTAAAAAAATTAATTTATCGAAAATAGTGTATTAATAAAATTTAAGATTTCTATTCTATTTCTGATGTGAAATGCATAAAAATGATCTTATTCTTGGTAATAAAAGTGTAACACCAGTATAAAAACACAACGCATTATTTAGTAATATATAATTTATTTAAATATTAATAATTTAATATCTGTTGTAGTGGGATATACGATCTGGCGAAATAACACAAGAATATGATAGACACTTGGGTGCTGTGAATACTATCACATTTGTTGACGAAAATAGACGATTTGTTACAACCAGTGATGATAAAAGTCTCCGAGTTTGGGAATGGTATGAATCCATTAATGATTTATGCATAAAAAATTATTTCCGAAAAATGGATCTATTATTAACAATAAATTTTCTTTTATAGGGACATTCCTGTGGATATGAAATACATAGCTGATCCATCCATGCATTCTATGCCGGCGGTAACACCGTCACGAAATCAAAAATGGCTCGCTTGTCAAAGTATGGATAATAAGATCGTTATATTTTCTGCGTTAAATAGATTCAAAATGAATCGAAAGAAGACCTTCACAGGGCATATGGTTGCGGGATATGCTTGCGGTTTAGACTTTTCACCAGACATGAGGTAATTTATTTATATTAAAAAAGTGTGCGCTTTTTTTAATGAAATAAATTTGTAATAATATTTATAAAACTTGATTATTTTTATAAGAAATTTTCAGTAGTATTATACGTATTCTCTTATTTCAGTTATTTGGTATCGGGCGATGCAGATGGTAAATGTTACATATGGGACTGGAAAACGACAAAGTTATACAAAAAATGGAAAGCGCATGATGGAGTGTGCATTGATGTATTGTGGCATCCACATGAGCCTTCTAGACTTGCTACTGCTGGCTGGGATGGCAAGATCAAGTATTGGGATTAAAATATTTCCAATGAGCCGTAAGCCACAGTTAAACAGCCTTGTCAACAATAGAGATTTTGTACATTTGTTAATAAATAGATAATAATTATAGCAAAATATTTTTAAACATTAATTAATTGCTATTGACAATGCTTTTAAATGTTGAATATTTAAGTGCTTTTTCATATTATAGATTATATATAAGTAATATTAAATTATTTTTCTAATCTAAAAAAAAATTGCTTTTATTTCTTAATCCTTTTATCACCTATTCGCTATATATCTTATCCAATTGAATATACAGAGTATTTGATAATTCTGCTGACAGTAGATAGTATTTGAGTAAACAATTATTAAAAACCAATATTCAGTGATTTTTAGTAAATATTTTGGTAACTATTGCGAAAATAGTATTTGCAAAATAGTAGAGGATTTTTCGATTCAGTTTAGTCCGCTCTACCTACCTACGAGTGTTGCCGGCAGAATTATCAAACACCCTGTATAATCAGAATATATCATAAATATTGGGTTAGGGAAAAAGTATCTTTACAAGTTGGTAAAAAAACCTTTTTCAATATCTTTGTTAAAAATAATCAAAATTTAAAATTAAAAAAAGGATTTTAAAACTTGAAATCTCTACTTTCGAATGGTTACTATATTTTTTTAATTTATGTGAGTTTTGTAATTTTTACATATAGAAAACGAGCTGAAAAAAATGAAAAATTTTCTTTTCACTTTGTAGCGTGCCCAAAAAAATTTGAGCAAATTTTCGACTCTATCGTGAACGGTTTGTTCCTGAGTTGCTCGCGGATTAAGTAAAGAGGAACATTCAGACTTTATTGCTCGTAACTCCGTTAAAAATTGTATCACAATTAAAAATACAGATTCTCAAAGCCGAAACGTTGCTCGATCAAATGATGTAATTGCAAATTTAAAAAAAATAGAATATATGGGTTGCTAAAAAAATTTTTATCAACTTGTAAAGGAACTTTTTCCCTAATTCAATATATGTAATTAAGTTTGATTATTTCAGTAAAAGACTCATTGCTATATGACAATTTATTGCGACATGTATAACGCGCAATATCGAATCCCGATATCTAGCTACATGAATATACCTGACATTACTTATTTAATATATCGATTGTCTCCCACCCTCTCCAATATTAGCAACCC